TTGTCCTCATTTGTAAGTCGCTTTGGATAAAAGCGTCTGCTAAATGACTAAATAAATAACAAAATAAAAATATGACATTAGCAAGTCACATGCCCAACATAAATTACATATGCATCTATGTAAAACCAAACGATATATATATATATATATATATATATATACACATATACATATATATATATATATATATATATAAAATATATATTCTATATCGAGTCTAAAAATATATTATACACGTTATTCAAGTAACAATATATATATTTTTTTAAATACATTTTCCTGAAGAAAACCTAAGTAGTGTTTGCACAGGCAGTGCTAACAAAATTGGGCAAGGGGGACTGAAAATAATTATAATAATATCAAATTTATATTCTATATCGAGTCTAAAAATATATTATACACGTTATTCAAGTAACAATATATATATTTTTTTAAATACATTTTCCTGAAGAAAACCTAAGTAGTGTTTGCACAGGCAGTGCTAACAAAATTGGGCAAGGGGGACTGAAAATAATTATAATAATGACAAAAATTTATCCAGGTTTACATTTATTTTCCAAAAATAATTAGAAAAGCTTAAACTGATCAGCCATTTCATAGACCTAAAATAAAATATTACATACAGAAATGTACAAGTGCTTTTTTCCCCCACATACCACTGCATTCAGTTTACTTGCCAAAAAACCTACCTGATTCAAATTAAACTGAAATCCTGCATCGCTCCCAAATGAAAATGCCAAACCTAACATCTTCCTTTAGTGCTGAAATGTTTCTGTTTCAGGTTTAAAGAAGCTGGAGGGCTGAAATTAAAATGGCAAACATTCAAAGGTTAAGGTAATGTACTTTTCCACCATCAACCTGCAGCTTTAGTCAAATCGATCACAGCGGGACTGACTCCAGATCTGATCCCAGCCAGGAACCAATACGCTGCATTTCAGTGTTCACTTGAAACTCAGATTAATCTCCAGCTGTTTTAATCTCACCTTTTCCAGTCGGACACTGCAGACTTCTACCCATATACATTTTAAGATCATAGCCCATTGGTTCAGTTTTTCCCCAGCCTGCCTTCTGATTGGTTGGGCTGATCTAACCTTCACCCTGATTGGTTGCCCATCAGTCTTAAGTCGTTTGATGGCTGCTTCCTGGTTGAGGTCATCTTGCTTTCTCTTGGTGACTCTGTTCGTCTCTTCAGGTCGTCGGCTCATTCCAGACTCTCCATTAGATGGAGGCTCAGCAGTTTTCTTCATCTCTCTCCTTTCTCTCCTCTCCTCCATCTCTTCAATCTCCTCTGCAAACAATGCCTTCAGAGGTCGAATGAGCTGGGGAAGCATCGGGAAATCTCCAAATCGGATCTGTAAGCACAAGAAAATAACACATCACACTTTACATTTGATTCAAAGTGGAATATAAATTATATTTTGTTTGCACAGCATTTCTCAAATAAGAAAGTGAGGTAGGAAAGAAAAAGAAATAACAGAAAGGAAGTAAGGAAGGAAGGAAACAAGGAAGGTTGTAAGAATGTAATTAAGGAAGTAAGGAATTAAATAACTAAGGAAGTAAGAAAGGACGGAGAAAGGAAATAAAGGATGGAAATAAGGAGGAAAATAACTAAGGAAGTATGAAAAGAAGGACGGCAGGAACAAAGGATGTAAGTAATGAAGGAAGTAACTAAGGAATAAAGGATTCAAGTAACAAAGGAAATAAATATCTATAGAAGGAAGTGAGTAAGGGATGCAAGGAAGGAAATAACTAAAGATGGAAGTAAGGAGGAAAATTCCGATGGAAGGAAAGAAGGATGGAAGCATTGCAGGAAGTAACTAAGGAAGTAAAAATGGAGGATGCAAGGAAGGATGTAAATAAAGGAAATAACTAAAGAGGGAATTAAGCAAGAAAGGATATAATTAATGTAGGAAGTAACTGTGAAAAAAGACAGGTAAGGAAGGAAATAACTAAGGATGGAAGTAAGGAGGAAAATAACTAAGGAAATACGGAAGGAACAAAGGATGGATGGAAGTAATGCAGAAAGTAAATAAGAAAGTTAAGAAGGATGCAAGTAAAAAAGGAAATAACTAAGGAAGAAAGCAAGGAAGGATATAAGTAATGAAGGCAGTAACAAAAGAAAGCCAGGCAGGAAGGAAGGAAATAACTAAGGATGGAAGTATGGAGGAGTATGGGAAGGAATTAAGGATGTATGGAAGTAACGCAAGAAGTTATGGAAGTTAAAAAATGAAGGATGTATGTAAATAAGGAAATAACTAAGTAAGGAATGAAGCAAGGAAGGATATAAGTAGTAGAGGAAGTAACTGAAAAAAGGAGGACACAAGTAAGGAAGGAAGTTACTAAGGTTGGAAGTTAAAAGGGAAATAACTAAGGAAGGAATTACGTATGGAAGGATGTAATGATTTAAATAAGGAATTAAGTACGGAAGGACGGATGGTTGGATTTTAGTAAAGATAGTTAAGTAATGCAGGAAGTAAATAAGGAAATAACTAAGGAAGGATATGAGCAATGGAGGAAGTAAATAGGGAAATACCTAAGGAATGAATTAGGAAGTATGGAAGGATGCAAGTAATGAAGAAACTAAGTTCAAAAGGATGTATTTTAATTAAGATAGATCGGAAGAATTAGCTGGGAGATATTTGACAATATCCTCACCCTCATGTGGTCGAAGGAGATCCCCACTTTGCTGTTGAAGTCATCGCTGAAGAGAGGGATCTTAGCGTACCGCTGACTGAAGTGATTCAACACGATGAATTCAGCGTTCATCTTCATCCCGATGCCGATAGCCTGAGACGTGGTGCTGGAAAGAGTTTCAGTTTCAAACACCGAGCACTGACAGAATCATGCAACTTCTCTGGAAACAACCCAAACCCGAAATCTGAGGCTGAACTTCGAATTTACTCAAATTGAACCAAAAAGGTCTTCACGGACACCACTGAAGTGTTGTGTTGCAGTATCAGATCAGTATTCCTCAACCATTTCTCACGTTCAAGGGCTGATGTAGGATCGGTTTTCTACAAAGCCTACAACACAAATCTGTTCAGCTGATAAAGCTAAACCGGACCTGAACCAATCTGGAAGACGCTCTCCATCCTCTCAGGCAATCAATTCCTCACTGAAACCCAAATGAATCCCCCACAAAATCTCCAAACGATTTCACTCAGAAGCTCTCAGCGTTATTCAGCTCTTAAATTGGAAAGGGCCCCAGTGTGAGACACGGAGCAGTGCATTCATAGACCCGGCGCTCCAGAACTCCAGCAGACGACAAGGAACCCGATCAATGCTCATCTAAGAGGAGAATCCCACAACTTTAAGAGAGACCCGCTTTAATAGAGTCCTCCATCAGGAAGCACATTATCCACTGGGAAGGCTGACCACTTTCATTTCAGAAGAATTTCTCCCTCTGCCTGCAATTGAGGGTGCTTTTTTATCTCTTAAATCAAAAGATAGTTTCATCTTCTTGTTTGTTTTGTTAGTTTGCACATGGCCAATACAACCTCTTCATTAAGACCAGCGCTGTAAGAGCTGGTGTTTGACTGTTGCATTATTGATGGATGAGAATTCACACTGAAATGCATTCATTACATAGGAATAATGTTGATGGAAATTGTGCCACAATGAAAAGGCAATACCGTCATTACTTATTTTACATGTGAATTACAGCTCAAAAGTTCAGGGTCGGTAAGATTGTTCTCTTCTGCTCACCAAGGCTGCATTTATTATATCAAAAATACAGCAACAACTGCAATATTGTGAATTATTATTACCGTTTAAAATAACTGATTTCCATTTGAATATATTTTAAGATGTAATTTATTCCTGTAATAAAAAGCTGAATTTTCAGCATCATTACTCCAGTCTTCAGTGTCACATGATCCTTCAGAAATCAGTATAATATGCTGAGAAGCATTCCTTATTATTATCAATGTTGTAAACAGTTGAGCTGCTTCATATTTTTGTGGAAACAACAGCTGAAGTTTAATTTGAAAAAAGATCCGTTGATTTTGGTCTGATCTGAGCAGTTCGAGTGCCAAAATACAACACTGATTGTTTTATGCATCAGCCAAAATGTGATGCAGCTGTAAAGAGATTGTTATTGAAGAGCAATTAAAAACTTTAAAAAAATAATTTCAGAACAGAGCAAATATATAAAAAAAAAAAAACCATTTACATGGAACTAAAGAGGGTGTTTTTTTGCCACAGTACACGTAAAACTTGCAAGTGTCAGAACTTGCTATGAAAAACTCAATTACAATAGATTTAGTGCTAAAGACTTTCACAAACATTTCAATCAACAAAACTCCGACAAGCCTTTGGCTTTTCTTAGTTGGGGCTTAAAGGAAGGCTAAAGGGATAGTTTACCCAAAACTGAAAATTTGCTGTTAATAGGCTCTGGTTTACAGGTAATAATGTTGTAAATAATGTTCAGTTTCTTGCACAGAGTGATCGTTTCACTTCATAAGACCTCAATATATCATCAGGAGACGCGGGTATTAAATTTGTCTTCCTTTATATGCTTTTTTATTCTCAAATACTGGCAGCCGCTGACTTGCATTTTATGAATCAGTTTCAGCTAAAAATCTTCTTTACTGTTCTGCTGAAGAAAAATAAAGTCACCTACATCTTGGATGGCCTGAGGGTGAGTAAATTAACAGCAGTTTTTTTATTTTTGGTTGAACTAACACAATCGGATGAGAACAAAACTGAACCGAACTGAATAATGACACTATTGTCTTCTGCTTTATAGCTTAATCAATTTGTTCATACTTGACAAATTTTGCAACACTGACACTTTTATTGTACTGAATTGAATCAACATCGAACTGACTTGAGCCGAATAACGACACTATTGTCTTCAATCACTGAACTCGTTTCATAAATGATGAATTTTACAGTTATCAAACAAATTTGTCTAATTTTTCAAGTTTTAATAATTGATTCTGTTATTTTCCTATTTAATACTACGAATCTGCTTTGTATCGTAAAAAGCGCCATATAAAGGTGACTTGACAAACAGTATAACAAAACTGAATTAAAAACACTTGCCATGAGCCTGCAGATCTGAAGTGTCATTGATTACCTGTGTCTCTTCTCGCACGCTTCTTCCTCCATCCTGTCCTCCAGTGTGGCTTCATGAATCAAAAGTGTTGCATTCTTGCCTGAGAGCAAACCAAGAGATGAATCAAACTCTCTCCACCACACACACACAGATAAATTACAGCTGACATGCTATTCCCTCTTTTCCCCATTGTAAAACATTCACACCAACACTCAATCAATCACGAGAACTCCAGCGAGCGCTGAGACAACAAAGGCCTTTCCTAATGAGACGAGTGGACCGAACCATCTCCAGCGTTCAGGAGGGGAGCTCATCACCGCCGGACTCCCTCAGGAGCCATTAAAGAGGATTCTGTGACTGGGAGAACAGCGCTGAAGTGATCGATTGCATTGCTGATGAAGACAGGAAGAAGCATTTAAACGCAGGCTTCATTCGTATCGATCCGAGAGTCACTATAGAGATTTAGGCGCAATTACAGACTCTCGCTTTCCTGCTAGACTGATGGGCCTTCAATGAGCAGATTCTGACTGACGGAGTATTTTAAGGGAAAAACCTCTGTAGAAATGCAGTGTGTGGTTTGTCTGACAATTAAGACTGAAAATCAACTGCAAACATGTAACTTTAAATCTTATAGCCATGCAAAATGTAGTTGTGTATCTTAAAAAATGAATGTCAGTATTTGTTTGTGTTTGGGTTCATAAATCTCAATAACATTTTCCGGCTCACATTTCACCTTAAAATAAAAAAATAAAAAAAAAATAAAAAAAAAACAGCACTAATGCACGTCTTTATGGCCGTTAAGTATAAGAGCATAAGAATGCTAGAAGACAGAGAAAAATATATATTTTAGTTGCCTCTCTGAGGAAATATAGCAATAGATTATGTAAGTTTAATTAATTATTACAATGGTGCATATAAATAAATTATAAAACATCATTCAAGCTACTAATAAAGCAATAAGCCCCAAGAAGCCGTGGTTTACAGTGAATTTATAACAGCTAAGGGGCGTTGTTAGGCACGACTCGAAGCGGTTATTCCATATACGTAGTAAGGTTTCACAAACTAAAACTGAGCAAATAAAGTGTAATGATATTAATAAAAACAGTATTCTTCCACCAAACAATGTAGTTCCTCAGAAACAGTTGTGGTTGCTGAGCAACACACAGAAGTAAACAAAGGTGTATGTTTGTAGAGTAATTTACAACAGCTTCGACCGTGGCTCAACCAATCAGAATCAAGGACCGGAACTCTCCGTTTTATAAAATAAAATAAAATTGACAGCAAATGCATAAATAAAGATATATATTGGACATTGCCAAAAGGATTAAAAAAGGAATGGCTATAATCCTGAAAAAGCCTACACCGTCCATACAGACCTTGACCAGGTCATTCTTCTTCAGAAGAGCCTGAATGAAGGATTTGGTCTTGACTTTGGGAATCTCAGCACCATCACACAAAAACTTTGACGGGATCATACTGGAAAGATGAAAAACAAACGTGAAAAGTGTCAAGTGTCAACATACGTTGTTTCATTTAATTTTGACAAATGATAATGCGTTTACTTTTAATTGTGCGAATCATAGATGCTCTCACAGAACAATAGAAAAAAACTAAAGTGACTCAGTGGTAGTTTCCTCTCATACTTGATCTGGCTGAGGATCTGCTGGCAGTGATCGTGATACTGGTTCAACCACGTCATGATCTGTGCGGGAGCGATCAGGTACACGGGACTGAACGCTTTACCTAGACTGTTCTACAACACAGAAAACGCCATTATCAGTGGACTGATCCATACACATAATAAAGATGAAATAAAACACACAGATATATATATATATATATATATATATACTTGGCGGTGTGGTAATAAAAAAATTATAATATAAAAGATAAATAGGGCTATTAGTCGATTAATACTTTTAACTGACATTAATCAAAAGATATGCTGTTTACATAAGTAAATAAGTTTATAAGTTTGTGGTCAATTATATATATATATATATATATATACACTGTATATACATACCAGAGCTCTCTCTCGCTCCAATAATAAATGAATCAAACCCTGTGTAGAGAGAAAAAAAGCAGACATGAAGGTCAGCAAAGCAATAAATAACATTTTATAAATAAATTCTAGATTATTATTTAATAGCCTTTTTTTATGAAACGGACAGTTCCGGTCCTTGATTCTGATTGGCTGAGCCGCGTTCGAAGCTGTTGTAAATTACTCTATAAACATACACCTTTGTTTACTTCTGTGTGTTGCTCGGCAACCACTTTATTGCAACCACAACTGTTTCTGAGGAACTACATTGTTTGGCGGAAGAATACTGTTTTTATTTATATCATTACACTTTATTTGCT